TATACACGTTATTAAAAAAAAAAAAAAAAATGGCATCGAAGACTTGGCCATCCATCTGTCAATCGTATGAAAAGCACTCTTCCTGACATCGACTTTGACTCTCATTCGGATGAATGCCGCTCTTGTATTCGGGGAAAGATGCCAGAGGACTCGTATCCAGCATCCAAATCACCTAAGCCATCTTCTGTCTTGGAAGTATTAGCAGCCAATGTTATGGGTCCATTCCGTAAAGCATCTAGAGATGGGTCTATTTACTACTTGGCTGTCTTAGATATTGGTAGCCACTATGGTTGGATTATCCCATTGAAGAACAGGGCAGATGCTACTCCTCGCATTGCAGATCTCATTCGCCTCCTAGAGACTCAATATAGTGACCGTAAAATCAAGGGCCTACAGACCGATAATGCTCCTGAATTCACCGCTAAAGTCATGCAGGAATTCTTACCATACTCGCACGATCAAAATAGTGCTATAGAACGATTCAACCGCACTATCCAAGAACGTAGTAAAACAATGTTGGATGCTGCAAATTTGGATTCTCGTTTTTGGGCTGATGGTATGCTCACGGCTGTCTATTTGGAAAACCGGACTACAACTAGTGCTCTCAAAGCTCATTTAACACCATACGAAGCTCTCAACGGCAAGGCTCCAAGTTATGATAATCTTCGTATCTTTGGGTGTGATGCCATCTGCCACGATCCAACACAGCTCGATAAACAGAATCCATAGATGCTGTCTTTATTGGCTACGAACCTACTCCATTTGAATCAATTAGAGGCTGGCGTTTCTGGGATGTAGAATCACGAAAGGTTTTTTATTCACGAAATGTGATTTTCTTGGAAGAATCTAATGATACCATGCCAAGACCTAAATTGCCAAACGTAGCTGGTATAGATGCATCTGGTACATCAAGCTTATCTCCGGCATCACGTCAATTGGCTGCGAAAAACACTGATAATCAGCTCTCGACGAGATCAGACTTTATGGAATTCCTCGATGAATCAGCATCCGGCACCGATAAAATTCAACTTCCTTATCGCGCTCCATCCCTCAACTGGTTTTGAGAGCTTTAGCCTTGAATCCTGGCCAGCAACGTCGTGTAGAGGTCCGAACGCCTTCTCCAGAGTACGAAGATGCTAATAATAACCATGATGGTGATCGAGACGACGCCTCTCCTGAGCCAGATCCTGCTCCTGCTCCAGGTTTTAATGATTTTTTTATTTTTTTATAATAACGTGTATA